TGGTGGCGTACCTGCCTGGCGACCCGACGACGACCTACAAGGGCAACCACTCCGACGGGTCGTCGCAGGCGACCACCGAGTGCTACACAGACACCGCGGACGAGAGTTCGGTGCGCCGCTGCCTTGCCGCCCCGCGTGGGTGCATATCTCACCCAAGCACCCAGATGACGGCAGGGCGTTCGCGCTGTCACTGTCACGCCTCGGCGTGGAATCATCGACGTGGAATCATCGACCCGACCGCCGTCATCGCCGCTCCCGTCGACCCAGCGTTCGACCCGTTTTTGCGCGAGTACGCCTACGCGGCGCTCCTCGGGCTCGTCCGCATCGAGGGAACTCTCACCTCATGAAGGGCGGCGGGCCGTGTGCAGGTGCCCGGCCCTCCTCCCCAACCCCTTCCTCTCCCCCCAGGTCGTCTCCAACCCCCCACCCCCCCCCACCACCGCCCCACCCCCCCTTCCCACCTGCCTCGACCCCCCTCCTCGACCCCCCTCCTCGCGCTCGCGCAGGCCCGCGTCGCCATCTTCGGCATGCCGCAGCAGTCCACCCTCGCCGCCGCCGCCCTCGCGTCGCCGCCCTCGCCGCCGCTCGTCTGCCCGTGCCTCACCGCCTACCCGGCCGGCGTCAGCCTCGTGAGCGCCGAGGTGCATGTCGTCGCGGCGGACGGCGTGAGCCTCGCGTACCCCGGCACGTACTGCCTCCACGGGTGCGACCCGCACGACAGCAGGCTCGAGCCGTCCTGCGACTCGACCTGCTACCCCGGCTGGTGCGAGCACGAGTGGTGCTACGTCGACCCGGCCGCGTGCAACACCGAGTACAGCACGACCGCGTACGTGGTGGGCGCCACCCCGCACTACTTGTGCCGTGCGTGCGGCTTCAGCAACGAGTTCGAGAGCTGGTTCTACCAGCCGCCGATGCCGCCGCCACCGCCGCCGCCGCCGCCCTCGCCGCCGCCCTCGCCTCCGCCGCCCTCGCGTCGCCGTCGCCGCCGCCCTCGCCGTCGCCGCCTTCGCCGCCGCTCGTCTGCCCGTGCCTCACCGCCTACCCGGCCGGCGTCAGCCTCGTGAGCGCCGAGGTGCAGGTCGTCGCGGCGGACGGCGTGAGCCTCGCGTACCCCGGCACGTACTGCCTCCATGGGCGCGACCCGCACGACAGCGGGCTCGAGATGGTCTGTCGCCGCAGCCTCCACCGCCGCCACCGATGCCTTCGCCCCCCTGCTGTCGACACTGCCGATGCCGCAGCCCTCCATTATTCCGAGCACTCTGCCAATCTTTAGCTCCCCCTCGCTCCTTATTGCATCCTTGCTCCGCCTCAAAGTCCCTTTATTTTCGCTACTTGATGTCCACCTAATTAGTTCTCCGCCTTACTTCCTACTCTGGCTCCTGTCCTTGACCACAATAATTTCTGGCTTAAGCCAACCTCA